GCAGATTTTACTGTAGCCATTACAAGTCTGGTATAGTTAACCCAACGATTAACTCAAAGTGAACCAAAGACTGGCACTACTTTTATGGAAGACTGCCATTAACAGGCAGCTATAGATGACTTAACCTCTCTGTGCTGGGCATTCAGACTAAGGCCTTGTTTCAAACTCACATCTGTAATGGCTACACAAACAAAGATATTCACAGTAAATTGCATTTTTCTCCACAAGGGAAATATTTACTGATTGGACATATTTACTAATTCGGAGCCACAGAAGCTTGAGAATAAAGGCCCCCCCTCCTCATACAGCACCTTCTACAAAATCTTGGGATTAAATTGACAAGCTTATTTCCTAAGTGGTAATGGAATGGGATAAAGAGAACAGAAAGAAGAGAGAGTATTAAATATATAATCTAGAGGGTTAAAAATAATTGGAGTTCAGAACCCACACTAAGGCCATTAAATTTTGCTGGCAAACTGCTTTCTAGTATATTTCATGTCACATTTTAAAAAGTGGATTTACCTTATACTGAAAGCAAATAGGAAGAAATTGTTAAATTAGAATGTTTTAAATTCAATGTTTTAAATTTATAGGAAAAAATGTATGTATTATTTATACATATGTATTGAATACACGGTAGAGGGGAAGACATTCACTCTGTAGTTACTCAAATCTCCATGGATTGTAATAGGGCTACCTCTGTTTTGACTTCGTTCAATAGCAAATTTATTTGTTCAAAATATTAAAGGTAATTCTCACTGTAAGTCCTAAAAACTTGTCTTAATATTTGATTGCTTTGTTGTTGTTTTCTCTAGAGGCTTCTGTGTGGTAAAATTTATCTGTTAAAAACCAACAATCTAAGAGTAAATCCCAAAACAGGTTAATTGAAATATGAAGCCACTTAAGTTTAGAGTTTCTAGGTACCTTGATTAATGTCCCAAGATTTAAAAGATATTAAAATCAGTGTCTGACCTTTATTAAACTACATTAAAAAATACTGCTCAAAAGTACTTTAGAAAATACAATTTCCCTCATCTTTTAGGGTAGGTAAACAACACAATGTTCCTTCTATGATGTATACAAAATTGCTATGAATTAGTGGTGTCAAAAATTACATTAAGACTCCTAGTTCACAAATATTTTATAGAGTAATTTATTTTTTAAAAGATGGACTTTGAAAGTTACAATGTGTTAGAGCAACATCAAAATGGTAAATATACTCAAATACATATAAACAATAAGCAATCTATTTCAATTTTTCATTTTTCAGTGAAAAAAACTTAAAAGAATTCACAGTATTTCTTTTATTTAAGGTTTGCTCTCTCTACTGGAGAAGGCAACGGCACCCCACTCCAGTGTTCTTGCCTGGAGAGTCCTAGGGATGGGGGAGCCTGGTGGGCTGCCGTCTGTGGGGCCGCACAGAGTAAGACACTACGGAAGCAAGTTAGCAGCAGCAGCGGCCCTCTCTACGAACTTCCCTGTAATCTTGGTTTCTACTCATTTCTTACCCTGTACATAACTCTTTTTATCTCTTTGCTCTTTGAGGGATTTACAAATTATTTCATTTAATCTCCACAATGATTCTGAGATAGACCTTATTATCTGTATTTATAGATAAGAAAACCGAAGGTGTCAAGTAACTTGCTTAAGATCACAGAACATTACAGCTCAGATTCAAAACTAAGAAGGAAAAAAAATCACCAAAACCAACAGGACTCCAAAACCCGCGCCATCTTTGTATTAATATCATACCATACCATGCCATTGCATACATAAAAAAAAAAGTTTAATAAAGAGAAACATTTTCCAAGTGTAGTTATCCAGACAACAAAGAGTTTTCATAAGGACCTTAGTAAACGAATCATGTAGGAAATCATTAGTACCAAAAGCTTGAGGTTAATGTTCTAATACAGTTAAGAAAAACACTCAAAAGTAAAAATACTAACTACTCTAGGTATTATATAAAGGAAACACCAAATATGACACGTAAGCCACTGATGGAAAAAAACCAAAGCCCTCATGCTAGGTGTTCACATATCTTGGAACACCTTAACTAAAAGTGTTATAACTAAAAATAATATATATATCTCCTTACATATCCACAGAAGGGGCAGAATACTATATCCCATAACTAAAGGTCTCAGTCAAATGAAAAGTGTATTTTAGTTAATTCAACATTCTACTTTGCAAGTTGAAGTTTTATCTTATTAAGCACATAATTAGGTTCTGTATCTTACTGATCATAGAAAAACGTTTCATTCGAATTAGGATGAACCTGTATTGAGTATCAAAATAGTATTTTCTTATTTTGATAAATTTCAAATCAATGATAGCTAAAAAATGAATTAACCCGATTACACATTTAAAGCTGTATTTTAACAAATAATATATTATCAACTAAAAATTATCTGAAAAATCTGTAAGATTTATTTCAGGTTCTGATTTTAAATTCAGACAATTTTACTACTGTAACTAAAGAATCACTTATGATTAAAGGCAAATGGTGTTTGAAACTGTCAAATTTCTTTTTACTTCTACCAAATTCAAAACTATGGATTAGGTAGCAAGACTTCAATTGAGAGTTTCAAGTTTCAGGTAGTCTTGATAATGCATACAACCCTCACATTGACAATGAATCACGTGGTTACCTGGCCACCGCTTCTATCTGCAAGCCCAGTCCTTTCCTAGACCCATTAGCACAAAGGTTTTCTCTTCTTATTCCCCTCTAACCATGAAGCTAGTCTTTCTTAAGTTGTTCACATCGGCAGAGCTCCTAGTTAAACTAATACATAAAGGACAACCATGGAATAGTTGACATCTACTATGAGGCGCTTAATCTCACTGCTGACCAAGATGTAGCACAGAGAGATTAATAAATAAGAAGCTGAGGCAGGATTAGAACCCAGGCCTTCAGGTTCCACAGCCCGCATTCTAGGAAGGTGAGTAAACCGAAAATACTCCTAGTTTCATTATCACTGAGCTCTATTAACAGATTATTTTTCGCTTATAATTGCTCAAATTCCTTCTCATAGTCTGTGGTCGACTTAAACATCATATGTCTTTTGTAGTACCTCTTTAAGCAACGTAACAGAGGAACGCTTAAGTTGTCTACATCTGCACACAGACCGCTTTGCCCACAATCTTGCAATCCACTTGTGCCTTACTCTAAAATGCTGTCTCTTTAAGCCTCCCTCTTGAAGCTTTTCTGGTGAACGCCTTAAAAAGCGACTGTGAGAGCGTGATAGTATCTCTCCATCCATCCTCCCTCAGAAAAACAACTACATTCCATTAGAATAGTTCTCCAGACCGTTTGAGAATAAGATATAGGCCTCTGGGTAATGTCAAGACCAAAAAAAGTAAAAAACAACACCAACCAAAAAAAACGCAAGGAGAAGGTGTGGGAGGACACCTTTCGACTTCCATAAGGATGGTAAAAAAGTAAAAGTGAAAGTGAAGTCGCTGAGTCTTGTCCGACTCTCTGCGATCCCATGGACTCCTCGGTCCATGGAATTTTCCAGGCAAGCGTACTGGAGTGGGTTGCCATTTCCTTCTCCAGGGTATCTTCCCAACCCAGGGCTTGAACCTGGGTCTCCCGCATTGCAGGCAGACGCTTTACCCTCTGAGCGACCTAAGGAAGGTATAAAGGATCTCATAAAGAGAAAAAGAACCCTGAAAAGCGGGGCGGAAGGACCACACAGTGGGCGCTCCCGCCCAAGGGTCCAGTCCTCCTGCTCCGGGCCAGTGCGTCCTCGGGCTGGGCAGCCCTCCTCACGACACCGAACCTGCACCTCCGCCAGCCGCCTGTCCCGGGCCCGGGGCCCCTGTCCGGGCGGGGGCGGGGAGGGGGGCAATAGGCCTCTTCAGGTGGGGCCCCGAAGACGGCCCGAGGCGGGGCCAGGGAGGCGCCACTGAGGCCCGCGGCGCCCAGGGGCGGGGGCTGGCGGCTGCTCAGGGACCCAGCGGGTCAGGAGGTGACAGGAGGAGGAGGCAGCAGAAAGAAAGGGGGGGGGGGGGGAGGTAGCGTCTCGCCCGCCGGCGTAGACAGCTCTGCCAAACCTCCGACTTCCCCAGTCCCGCCGCCGCAGAGCGCCCTAGAGGGCGAGAAGGGAAGTCCACAAAGTGCTGGAGCAGAAGGGAGAAAATTCAAAACGAGTCTACTCAACCTCGTCTTGGTTCCGAGGCCCCGCCATGGAGACCAGTACAGTGCGCAGGCGCGGCCCTCCAGGAGCGCGCAGCGCAGCCGCTTTAGAAAAGATCCTGATCAGCCACCGTCGCGTTTCCTTTCTGATTGGGTTTTTTTTTTTTTTTCGTATCCCCGCCTCTCACCTGGATCTAAAGCCTGAGGCTAGTAGTTAGAGCCTTAGAGAAATCTCGGGAGACTAAGAGTCTTGATTGGGAGTATGCTTGAGAAATTAAACCCGGAAGGACTTTAGCAAATTAAAGCTGAAGGCCGAGGAAATATAATAGGTCGTTGCCTGGAGTCGGGAAGGTTTCAAGCAAAGAAGATAGCCTGAGGTCAGCGTGGTAAAAACAGACTACAATTCCCAGTGGCTACATCATCTGAGAAGCGCTGCTTTCTGGGAGTTGTAGTATCTAGGAGCTATGTTTGAATTATCGCGACTAAGGATAGCATGTTAACATTTCAAACGGAGAGAAGTCGGTTTGAAACGGGCTTCTATCTCCATAATCGCTCGCAAGCCTAAATATATATATTTTTTTTAAAAATTGAAAGAGACGCGTCGCCTTTAAAACTATGCCTCACTAATCGATGACTCCTACTCTAGGAATAGGTAGTTGATGTTTATGGGCTGGATCTTGAGGAAGGGCAGCCTCGTGGTTCCTTCTTGCTGAGGCCCGGGGAAAGAAAGCGGAAGCCCTGGGATCGACTGCATGTTTTCTCTGACACGTGCAGCCTCATTTTGAGATCCCTGTTTTTGTAGTCCTGAAAGACCAGAGTGCGGATTGTCTGACTGTTACCCATACGTTTGTCTAGGTACGCCATGGCTCAGCTCCAGACACGCTTCTTCACTGACAACAAGAAGTAAGTGAGCGTACTCCCTGTCTCTCCCTTCCTTCCCTCCCCCGCCCCGGGCCCCTGGAATTCGTTCGTAGGACCTCTTCTGTGTGACCTTGTGCATCCCTGGTTGTCTTTGCCGTCAGTTTACTTGTTTCCTTTTTAACTGGATTCGTCGCGTAAGGGCGTTTTCTGCGATACCTTGCGAGGACTTAAGAATCCCCCGTCGTTCCTGTCTAGCTTCTCAGGCTGTATATAATTTGAATTGTAAGAGTAGAGAGAGCTGAAGGGTTTCAGATTTGCTTCCTGAATGAAGTGCATTACGGAACTGAACAGTGAACAACGGACCAATTCGTTAGAGGCTGGCGGCTAGTGGTGGTGTCTGAAAACATGAATTTCATTTTCTTAAGTAGGTGATAGATGATGTTTTTCTAAACCAGGCTAGAATGTGGAGCTCCCAATAGGGAGTTGGTAGAACTGATTTTTGATAAGAGTGTCAAGTCAATTCAGTTATAATTTTGAGTATTTATATATATATACATATATATATATTACATATATATGTATTACATATATCCACACATATACATATGCATGTTATATATGTGTGTATGTATACATACCTGTATGGGTATACGTATATGTATTGGAACACTTTACCAGTTTTACAAATGGTCCCCAGATACATAGCAATCGTTTGAAACCTAATTATATTCTGCTTTGTGGCATATATTACACTATTAATTTTTCTTTTTGTTTGCCTAGTCTCTTCAGCTATATTGTAAGTCTCCTGATGGTAGAGACTATGTTATGCTAATTGGATTGATTCAGTCAACAGATGTTTGTCTAGTTTTTCTGGTACTGATGATAAATAATAAATATAAGCTGTATTAACAAGTTAGTGTCAGCTAAAAGCTAAAAAACTCCCACATCAATTAAGATTACATTTTTGATTGTTTGTAGTTTTATGAATTGACCTGGTAAATCATACTCACACCTCTTGTACTGTTGCATACAGCATATATGAATTGTCTTATCAATACAAATGAGTATATATATACTTAGTCTAAATAGTTCTAAAGGAATATGGTGATGCAATAGCATGACTGCTCTATTTTTTCTAATTAAAAGGTTTATGGAGATTATTGTTAAGAAATACTAGAGCAACTGCAACTGTATTTAAATTGCTGTGGTAAATGGATAAATGCCAAATGTGTGTATATGTGTTTGTTTATATATTTAGATTTTCCCAAAAGTTAACAAAATCTAGAAATGAAACTTCTTTCTTCTCCCTTTGATATACTATGTTCTGATCAGTGAAATGAAGGGGGAAAGTAGATTTATTCTCAGATATGCATATAATTTGCCATGAAGTGATGGGACCGGATGCCATGCTCTTAGTTTTCTAAGATTTGCCATCACTTCATGGCAAATAGAAGGGGAAACAGTGGAAACAATGGCAGACTTTATTTTTGGGGGCTCCAAAATCACTGCAGATGGTGACTGCAGTCATGAAATTAAAAGACACTTAACTCCTTGGAAGAAAAGTTATGACCAACCTAGACAGCATGTTAAAAAGCAGAGACATTACTTTGCCAACAAAGGTCCATCTAGTCAAGGCTATGGTTTTTCCAGTGGTCATGTATGGATGTGAGAGTTGATCTGTGAAGAAAGCTGAACACTGAAGAATTGATGCTTTTGAACTGTGGTGTTGGAGAAGAATCTTGAGAGTCCCTTGGACTACAAGGAGATCCAACCAGTCCATCCTAAAGGAAGTCAGTCCTGAATATTCATTGGAAGGACTGATGCTGAAGCTGAAACTCCAGTCGTTTGGCCACCTGATTCGAAGAGCTGACTCATTTGAAGACTCTGGTGCTGGGAAAGATTGAAGGCCGGAGAAGAAGGGGATGATAGAGGATGAGATGGTTGGAAAGCATCATCGACGGGATGGACATGAGTTTGAGTAAACTCCGAGGGTTAGTGATCGACAGGGAGGCCTGGGGTACTGCAGTCCATGGGGTCGCAAAGAGTCGGACAGGACTCAGTGACTGAACTGAACTGATGCATATAATTTACATATGCATATATGTTCATATATAAGTATGTGAATTATGCTTCTCTTCCCCCCCACCCCCATCTTACTGACCAAAACAGTAAACCAAAACTTTCAATTTCTAGGTTTTGTTACCTTTTGGAGAAACTAAATAAGTCCTTACTTTTTTTGACATGATAAATATATAACCATAGCCTTACTACTCAAAAAAGCATAGTTTGAAGGCCAGCATCACTTAGGAGCTGGTTAGCAAAAGGACAATCTCAGACCATACCTCAGATCTACTGATTTAGAATCTACATTTTAACAAGATTTGAAGTCTCTTCCCCCCACGCCCTTTGCTGCAGAAAGAGATTTATTACCTGATGAGCCCTGTAAGTTCTACCTAAACCTCTTTTACATTCTGCACAAATAAAGCCGTAATTCAGACCTTATGGAGATTTTTTTTGGTTTTGGTTTTTGTAACAAATTTATTAAAATGTAATTCATGTATAGTTGATGTCACACATTTGACGTGTTCAATTCACTAATTTTGAGTATATTTGTAGAATTGTGCAACTATCGCCACAGAAAATTTTAGAACATTTTTCATCACTCTTTTGCTGTTACCCTTTTCCCCCACCCTTCCAGAAACTTCCAAATAGCCCAGCCCAGGGCAGTCACTAATTTAATTTTTGTCTCTAACATTTCATATAAATGGAATGATATAATATGTGGCCCTTTGTGGTTGGCTTCTTTCACTTAAGTATGGTGTTTCTCAAGGTTTGTCCATGTTGCACTTCTTTCCTTTTTACTGCTGAATAATACTCCACTGTGTGGGTAGACCGCATTTTGTTTTCATTGTTCAGTTGATGGACTTTTAGGCTGTTTTCGCGTATTGGGTCTATTAAAAATAGTGGTAATGCGAACTATTGGTGCACAAGTTTTTGTGTGAACGTAATGTGTTTATTTCTCTTGGGTATGTACTTAGGAATGGAGTTGCTGAGTCAAGTGATAATTCCACGTTTAATTTTTTGAGGAACTGCCAGATTTTTTCAAAGCAATTGTACCATTTTACATTCCTGCCAGCAATGAATAAGTGTTTAATTTCTCCATTTACTCACCAACACTTAATATCTGTCTTTCTTATTGTAAACATCCTGGTGGGTATGGAGTGATAACGCCTTGCAGTTTGATTCGCATTTCCTTGATGACTAACAGTGCTCAACAACTTTCCATGTGCCTGTTGGTCATTTGTATGTCTTCTCTGGAGAAATATCTATTTTGATCCTTTGCTCATTTTAAAAATAGGGTTGTCTTTATTATTGAGTTATAAATGTTCTTTATATGTTCCAGATGCATGTTCCTTGTCAGATATGTGATTTGCAAGAATTTTCTCCCATTCTCTCTTACAAGAGTTTCTGATCTGCCTTCTGCTGTGGGTGCCTCTAATCTAGTCACTGCAGTGCTGCCCAAGAGAGATCTAACTAAACAAAATTTTGATGATGTTATTTTAGACAGTGGTTCCTCATTGCCTAAGGAAAGAAGTCAAAAGTGCTGCACACAGCAGCCAAGCCACTCCATGCACATCTCTTTAGCCTTATCCTTGGTCACTGTCGAGTAAAATGACACCTTGGAATAGGTTGGTTGGGCAGTTTAATAACTTAGCTTTTTTATGTGTGTATGCTGCTTTTTTGCACCCCTTCTTTCTGTCTTCCCCCATGTCACCAAAGGAAAACTCATTTTTCTAGGTGTAGTGTAAGAGTGTTTTTTTTTTTAATGCATTCCTTTCAGACTCTCCTCTCTTATCCTTTTCTCTGTTTGAAATACCCTACTGCTTCCTTATTCTCTCATTTTATGTATTACTATGACATTGTTCTTACACAGTTTCCTTGTATTTGTTTACCAGACATAAACGCTTTTCAAGTACAGAGACCACAGGTTAATTCATTTTTTGCTAACCCCATGTAGCAAAATGTCTGGCATGTATTAGATACCCAGTAAATGTTTGTTGAATGAATAAATGCATATTTGTTAAAATATTTGTAGACTTGATTTGATGTATCATTTCCTTTTTGTAGATATGCGGTAGATGATGTTCCCTTCTCCATACCTGCAGCCTCTGAAATTGCTGACCTTAGTAACATCATCAATAAATTGTTGGAGGCCAAAAATGGTAGGTATATACCCTGAAAAGTGAGGGGAGGGCAAAATGACTAAAGTGCATCACATTGTTATTTATAGCCCTTTGGGGGCATTGTTCTGTAATACTGCATGCATCTTATAATGGCAAAATGTATAAATTATAACATGTAATTTCCCTCCTACATGATACTTTGAAAAATGCTTTGAAATAAGTTTTTAGGGAAAAAAAATCAGTTTAATCTGCTTTAAGGCAATATGGAGAGAAGATGGTTGAGATTTAGAAATAAAGATTTTTAGGGTAAAAGTTCTTGATAGAGAGATAGTCGTATAGCATTTCCTATCGTTTTCATCATGGATATAATATAGAGATTCTGATGCATAGTTTTCTACATTTCAAAGATGTCATATATCCTACTTGCTGAAAAACTCTTTCGAACTAGGATAAGAATTATTTTCTTGCAACAGATGCTTTGCAATCCTAGTACATGGTTCTTTGTTGTTACCCAAGTGAAAGCTGGACACAACTGAGCATGCAAGCAAATATTTGCATAGTTTTCTAAATTGTAGATGAACATTCATGTATCTTTTTTTATAAATCAAATAACTGAGTAATTGCTTTTGAGTTGAAGATGCAAATAATTCAGATTTTTTTAAAAACTTTATTTTGTAGTGGGGTATAGCCAATTAACAACATTGTGATAGTTTTAGGGGAACCACATAGAGTCTCAGCTGCACATATACGTGTGTCCATTCTCCCACAAACGCCCCTCTCATCCACACTGCCTGGTAACATTGAGCAGAGTTCCGTGTGCTATACAGTATTTCCTTGTTGGTTATCCATTTTAAACATAGCAGTGTGTACAGGTCCATGCCAAAGTCCCTAACTATCCCTTCCCCCCGTTAAGCATAGGTTTGTTCTCTAATTCTGTGATACAGATTTTTTAGAAGTAACAAGACAGAGAGACGGAATTCTTTAAAAAAGAATATAGCTAATAAATCAGATAGAATGAAGAATTTTTAGCATTTCATAACTCCAAATGAAGTGATGGATTTAAGAATTGATCATCAGTCTCAACTAAAGCCATTTATTAGGTCAAAGGCTAACAAAGAACATTGTGATAGATGGGAACAGACTGACATCCTCTGAACTGAGAGAAATTTAATATCGTAAAAAGAGACACAGTGAGGTAGCACGCTTCATGCATGTGTGCAAAGATGCTTCAGTCGTGTCTGACTCTTTGTGACCCTATGGATTTAGACTGCCAGACTCCTTTGTCTATGGGATTCTCCAGACAAGAATACTGGAGTGGGTTGCCATGCCCTTCTCCAAGGAATCTTCCCAACCCAGGAATCGAACCCGTGTCTCTTATGTCTCCTGCATTGGCAGGCAGGTTCTTTACTTTTACTACTTGCACCACCTGGGAAGCCCCCGCATGCTTCCTAATGTGATACAATAGGAAACAATAATGTGTGTAAATATTTTGCCAAAAGTAAACTCAAAGTCTAATCAGGCATTTAGGTCTGCCTAATGTACAAAATCACTGCAGATGGTGACTGCAGCCATGAAATTAAAAGACGCTTACTCCTTGGAAGGAAAGTTATGACCAACCTAGATAGCATATTAAAAAGCACAGACATTACTTTGCCAATAAAGGTCCGTCTGGTCAAGGCTATGGTTTTTCCAGTGGTCATGTATGGATATGAGAGTTGGACTGTGAAGAAAGCTGAGTGCAGAAAAATTGATGCTTTTGAACTGTGCTGTTGGAGAAGACTCTTGAGAGTCCCTTGGACTGCAAGGAGATCCAACTAGTCCATCCTAAAGGAGATCAGTCCTGGGTGTTCATTGGAAGGACTGATGCTGAAGCTGAAACTCCAATACTTTGGCCACCTGATGACAGAGGATGAGATGGCTGGATGGCATCACTGACTCGATGGGCATGAGTTTGAGTAATCTCCGGGAGTTGGTGATGGACAGGGAGGCCTGGCGTGCTGCAGTTCATGGGATCGCAAAGAGTCAGACACGACTGAGCGACTGAACTGAACTGAATGTACAGGTTGTAGGTAGGTGGTAGAGGAACATGTTAAGGGATACCTTGGAGATATAAACAACCAAAGCCAGAATGTGAGTATTAGACCCAATTTCTTCAGTAAATAAAAGGCAGAGGAAAAGAAGGGTGGAGAACTGTTAAAGATATTAATTAAATATAATATGAGGACTTTGGATGCCAATTCTAAAAAAAAGTCACTAAAAAGACACTTAGAAAACAAGGAAATGCAAACATTGTCTGGCTTTATTATATTAAGATAAATAATTTAAAATTTTTAACACTGTGCCTTTTTAAAAGTTTATATTTTAGAGGTACATACTGAAGCATTTATAGTTGGAATTATATCATTTCTGAGTTTTGGTTTTAAATAAATCAGCAGGAGAGTAGGGGGAGAAGTATAGGTGATTGTCCATGAGTTGGCAAAAGATGCAAATGAGGATTCATTATGTTATTTCTACTTTTGTGTATTTTGGGATTTTTCATAGAATACAAAAGTTTTCTTTACTCAAGATGGTTATACTGTCCACAGTAAAAATATTAATACCAGCAGAGCAAAGTATTTCTGTTCTTTAAAATCACATAATATACTGGAATACGTGGTCCTGTTGTGCCATGGGGAAAATCTAGGGAAACTTGGAGGCCACACTGGGATAACAGGTACCTGTTTGTTTTGGGGTCTCTCATTTATGTCTGCCAATAACACTTCAGGTCCTAATACTATAATTTTATTACGTATTTTCTGTAGAGTTCCACAAACATGTGGAGTTTGATTTCCTCATCAAGGGCCAATTTCTACGAATGCCCTTGTTCAAACACATGGAACTGGAAAACATCTCATCAGTAAGTTCAAATGTTTACCTGTTCTGTTTTACTGAAGGTATTACCAGATAATGTAGGAAAACTCCATTTAGAATCAACCTGAATCTACAGCAATCAAGAGCCTTTTGATTATTATTTTTTCCTAAAAATTTGAACCTCGCTTTCTGTATGTTCTATTTTTAAATCCCCTCTTTTCTTCTAAGAGAAGAAAATTATTCAAAGAATGCAGATAAATGAATATGGAAAGATAACTTCATGTTTGTGAAGTTACCAAGAAACATATCAAGCAAATATGTTTACTACTAGTAAAGGTGTATAAAATTATTGTGCATATATATAAGCTTGTGGGTTGGGTTTATGTGATTTTTAGCGAGTGCCCTCTTCCTCTAATTGTCAAACTTACCTTATTATTGCTTTTATAATTTAAAATATAATTTATAGTTGCTTTTATAATTAAGGGGGCAATTTTTGAAACTATAGTAACATATACATAAAATGTATCTTTTAACCATTTTTAAGTGTACAATTCATTAAGTACATTCCCAGTACTATGCAACCATCATCATTGTCCATTTCCAGAATTTTTTCATCATCTTAAAGAGAAGTTCTGTATCCATTAAATTGTATGCTTTTATGATTTTATAGTTTCTTGTATTCTTTTTTTCCACTTTAAGCATAAGTTTTCCAAGATCATTAATATTTCTTAATGTCACTCTTAGCATACTGTTTGGTCAGATAAAGTTTTTCACTTTCTGTATGGCTCCAAAATTTTTGGCTTTGGAAGAGGAATTCGATGGAGGAGATAAACTAACCTGGGGCCCCTTTGTTTTCATAATGCCTGGTGGATTCCTGCCTTTCCTCTGTGACTAGGAAGAAGTCGTGGAGCTAGAGTACGTGGAGAAACACACTGCCCCGCAGCCAGAGCAGTGCGTGCTCCATGACGACTGGATCAGCGCGGTCGAAGGGGCAGAGGAATGGTATGCCGGGTGAATGTTCTTGTACCTGTTCCAAAGGTAGCATGTGAATATTTTCCTCTGGTTGCCTGTTCTTTGTGAAAGTGACTTATTTATATTATATGAACACACACACACACACACACATACGTATCTCGTCACCATGCCAAAGACCTTTAAATTTAGTATAGTCAAGAAGAAACATACCTATTAACGGGTTTTCTTTTCTGTCTCAAGATGTCATAGTGACATTTATCTTCCAAATAGGTTGTGCCTCTTAGGGCATTTATTTGATTATGTTGCTTTTAAGACTAAGAATATAATTTGTTTCATAGAGGGGAAAAAAACCTTTTCTAGCCACAGATCTCCTAACCTTCTACCCTGAAGATGCAGGTCATGCTATTTTAGGGCTGAAAAGAGCAGATTGGAATCAGAAGGTGTGAATGGTTTAGAGCAAAACCCCACTGGGCTTACTTGTAGAAAAACCCATCAAGAATGGATCGTAGTAGGAGTGTGCATTCAATGAATGTCTGCCCGGAGTTATTACATAGTTATGTTTTTATTGGTTTTACTTTTTACTTTAAATGGTTCTACTGGTTTTCTATTTAATGACTTTCACTGGTTAAACACAAGGAACTATTAGGCTTTTCAAACAATTTGCTTAGCTTCCCTGGGAGTGGCAGTATTTTACAATAATAGTAAAATCAAATTTATGGCTTGTTTATGTTTTATTTTTAGGAGGTGAGGAAAAGCTAAATGTAACATCTTCTGATTTATTCTAGTGTGTTTTGAAGTCTTAATCTTTATATTAAAGGTTAGAAAATATAATCTGCAAGGTTTACTTTACCATTGCTTTAGAAATAAAATTGATTTCAGGGTTTGAAATAGGTGCTTTTCGTATTTCATAGGAATTTTTTCTTTTTCTCCTCATAGGATCTTGACTGGTTCTTATGATAAGACTTCTCGGATCTGGTCCTTGGAAGGAAAATCAATAATGACAATTGTGGGACATACAGATGTTGTAAAAGATGTGGCCTGGGTGAAAAAAGGTTAGGACTCTTTGCCTAAACTGAGAGGAATCCTAGATAGGGAATTGGAAATAAGCCATTTTCAATGCTGGGCAGAATTGGGACAGGATAGGAAATGTCTCATGCCTTAGTTATTATGGGACTTTCAAATACCCAGTGTTTAAGAAAAGATATATTTTTTAAAAATCCATGAATCAGTAGAAGTGAATCCTAAAATGTCTCATAATATACATTTTCAAGTTAATAGTGAGTGTGTTAAATGTGTATCTTTTTTTATAGGTTTTTTTTGGGGGTTTTTTTGCCTGCACCACATGGCATGCAGGATCTTAGTTCCCTGACGAGGGATCAAACCTGCACTCCCTACAGTGGAACTGCAGGCTTTTAACACACTGGACCAGCAAGGAAGTCCCTATAGTATTTTTGAAGAATCTTCCCTTCTTACCATAAGCTAGCTTTTTTTCAAAGGTGGCTATATGAGGTCTTTTACTCTCAACAACCACAAAAACCTTGGTTGTTCAGTTCCAGAACACTGTAAAGGTTTTGCACTAAACTGTGTCCTGTGCTCTCCTCTCTGAAGACGGCTTGTCTTGCCTGCTGCTGAGCGCCTCCCTGGACCAGACAATCCTCCTGTGGGAGTGGCACACAGAGAGGAACAAGGCGAAGGCCTTGCACTGCTGCCGTGGCCACGCGGGCAGCGTGGAGTCCGTCGCGGTGGACAGCACGGGGACCAAAGTAAGCAGTCACTGGGTTGGTGCTGTGTTCAGTGAGAATTTGAGATTCTTGTGCCAGTAAGTTCTTGTCTACATAAACTCACTCTCATCAGCCTACATAAACTGCAAAGACTTTAAGAACTCAGGTAACCAAGTAATTTCTTTGTGTAACCTTCTGAAGTCAGTGATTGCCATTTGCAGTCCTTTAACTACTCATAGTGCTGTCGTCAGTTGAAAATGTCTAGCTGACCACCTAAGACTTGGCATACACTGAAGCTGGCCTTAATTGTGGCTGTTTTACAATTATTGCCGATCTACTCTGTATCATGACAGAACGGTAAAAGTTAAAACCATGAGGGCAACACAGTTTTTACTTAAGAGGGGTTATAAACTCTTCATCTGAAAATTCTCCAAACCACAATGTAGTATTCTAGATTAAGACTGTTTCTTCAATAGTTCTTTGCCAGTTAGCATAATAGATGACATTTCTGCATTTAAAGAGTGATGTGTATTCATTTTGAGCCATATGAGGTTTACATGTTGTTGAGTCCAAGTTTAAGTGAATTAACTGTTCCCTGTCTCTTGGCTATAAGAGACAGAAATGCATCCTGAGATTTTTTAGCTTAAAAGATCCAAGGAGGGAGTGATGAATCACATCATGAGCAGGGTGATGATCATTTTCGAGCCAGTGGAGTAGAGGCTTACATGGGGCACACCTCCTCCTTCTCTTGTCTCCCCATATTGACTTCATTTTCTCACCTCAAACTGGCTTTCCCTACATGGCAATAAAACCTACTCTTCACTATTCCCAGGTTTTACACGCTGTACTGTCTGTCTCTGGGAAATGAATAACCTCAACTCTCTGGAACACAAGTTTTCCCAAAAAAGGCTCTGAAGGAGGAAAAGACTTATTGGCACAGCGTAGGTCAGTTGCCCACCCTGATCTAAGCAACTGTGACCAGGTTACTGCCCCTTAAGAATGCTTTAAATGCTTTAAACTGCTGTGAGATTGAGAATACAGCTTCCCAGAGATTAGGAAGACAAGCAGAAAGACAATGCCATAGTAGTAAGGATTTCATGGCAAAGTAAACGTTTCAAGTTAAATAGCAGGAGGAAAAAAAGGCAAATAATATGATGTATTATATTTCATCCTGTTTTTCCCTTCATATATATTTTTTTAGTTTTGCAGTGGCTCCTGGGATAAGATGCTAAAGATTTGGTCTACAGGTAAATGAAATATTTCTTCTACTTTCACTTATTAGTGGTATTTTAAGAATTACAATGTAAAAAAAAGACTTTAGCCCATAATTTGCCATAAAAATTGGACCATGGCTTTTTGGGTCACAAAGTACTATATGCATGCTGAGTCGCTTCAGTCGTGTCCGACTCTGCACCCTATGGACTGTAGCCCACCAGAATCCAAATGGGATTTTCCAGGCAAGAATACTGGAGTGGGTTGTCATGCCCTCCTGCAGGGTTATCTTCCTGACCCAGGGATCAAACCCAAGTCTCTTTCATCTCCTGCATCGGCAGGTAGGTTGTTTACCACTATTGCTACCTGAGAAGCCCAAAACAAAGTACTATAGTAGAGAGAAAAATTATTAATTTCTGTCTGCCCCACCACTCCCTTATTTATTGGGCAGTGTCACTGAATCCCTGCAAGTACCAGTAACACAGGTGATGCAGTGGGACGTAACTGCTTCGGTTCTCAGAGTTCCCTTATTCAGAAACCTGGAAATAACTAACCTTCTAAGTCATATTGATACTTTAGTATTAGAGAAATTTCTTAGTTAAGGTGGCCTAGTTTCATTTTTTTAATACAATTTTACTGAACTTTCTTACTTTGAAAACGTAGATTAGAAGGAACAATTAGAGGAGAAAGGGGGACTCATAGAGCAACGTTCCTTGATAATAGTAAGAAGACACTTCTAGAAGAAAAGAAGGGAAAAAACCCACATATGTTTTAAAGAATAGTAGTACAGAACTATTTATTGCACAGGTTAACAGAATACCTCTGCTAACTTTTGAGGAAATTGCTCTATTACTACTGTACAACTTCCCTCAAAGCTCAGTTGGTAAAGAATCTTCCTGCAGTGAAGGAGACCTGGGTTCGATTCCTGGGTCAGGAAGATGCCCTGGAGAAGGAAATGGCAACCCACTCCAGTATCCTTGCCTGGAGAATCCCAGGGACAGAGGAGCCTGGTGGGCTACAGTCCATGGGGTCGCAAGAGTCAGACACAACTTGGAGACTAAACTGCCATCACCACCCTAAATTCAGTTCACAAAGTAGAATCGGGGAGGGGAAGATAATCAAGAAAAGCCTAAACAGTTTTAAATAATAATATGTAAGATGGCAGGAAATACAAACCCATTTTAGTTGATTTTTTCCCCAAAATTCATTAAAGCAAGCAGTTTTGAGGCAGAACGTTTATGGAGGAATTTTTCCTTTTGTGAAATACTTTTTGATAGTGCTGGGTAGATGACATATATATGAATAGTTGTTACCCTTAAGATGCTTATAGTCATTTTGGGAAAAGCACATGACATTTATAAACAGTTAGAAAACACTAAACTCTATGGTTTGTTTATCTGGGTTTGCTACCTAGCCAAATGGTAGATAACAAAGTTTTTAGTTTTTTTTTTTTTTAAAAAAAAAGCTATCTATGAAACACTTTTAACTTATTGATAGAAAAGTGAAGTAGGTCTTCCCAGATGACTCCGTGGTGAAGAATCCGCCTGCCAGTGCAGGAGACACATGGGTTCGATCCCTGATCTGGGAAGATTCCACATGCCGCAGAGCAACTAAGCCCGTGCATCACAACTACTGAGCCCGTGTTCCAGAGCCCAGGAGCAACTCATGAAGCCCGCACGCCCTAGAGCCCGCACACTGCAACCAGAGAGGAGCCCCTGCTCGCTGCAACTAGAGAAAAGCCCATGCGGCAGTGAAGACCCAGCACAGCCAAAAATAAACAAATAAAAATTCATGTTTTTAAATGCAGTAAAAATAGAAGTGAAATACTCAAGAAAAATGTATGTCCTTTCAACGTGTTTATTTACCATGTCATTCCCTTTATAATATAAATACACTCTTGTCAAAACTCTTCTACAACTAAGGTAGTAAGCAACTGTTCATAGATCTGGTAAAGTGATGAAGGTCCATAATGATAATCTTTATAAGATACCAAACTGGTTAGGTTTTAGGATTTTAATGTACTTTATTTTTTGCTTTCTCCTTTTGGCTGATTGGTAACCCATGTATTGTTTTTAGATAGGATTTTCCATTAACCAAAATAAAGAAAAATATTCATTCCTAACCAGTTGAGATAACATGAAGTATATACCCAGAAACATAAGAATCCTTTGAGATTGTTTGTAATTAATATTTACTTTAAATTTTAAACTTATCATATCTACTTCTCTATGATATAGTTCCTACAGATGAAGAAGATGAAATGGAAGAATCCACAAATCGACCAAGAAAGAAACAGAAAACAGAGCAGCTGGGACTCACGCGGGTAAGCGTTTGTGAGAGCTGACGGCACTGTACTGTAGTTAGTTTCCTTTTGTCTCGGTGCTTCAACCGTAACTAGACTTTCTTTCGGTAGGTTAGTAAATTTTTATTATGAAACTGCTGCATTTTGAGTCACTGACTATAATGGCATTAAGCTAGGCTTTTTACACTGTTCGTGGGGTTCTCATGGCAGGTATACAGAAGGGGTTTGCCATCCCTCCTTCAGTGGATCACATCTTGTCACAACTCTCCAGTATGACCTGTCTGTCTCGGGTGGCCCTGCACGGCATGCCTCATGACTTTATTCAGGGGATCAGATCTCGTAAACAGTGCCTGAAGAACTGTGGACAGAAGTTCGTAATGTACAGGAGGCAGCAAACAAAACCATCCCAGAGAAAAAGAAATGTAAGAAGGCAAAGTGGTGTGTATAACAGAGGAAAGAAGAGAAGCAAAAATGCAAGGGAGAAAGGGGCAGTTACACCCAACTAAATGCAGAGTTCCAGAGAACAGCAGAGGCAAGAAGGCCTTTTTCAATGAACAGTGCACAGAAATAGAGGAAAACAACAAAAGGGAACGATTAGAGATCTCATCAAGAAAACTGGAAAATCAAAGTAGCATTTCATCCGAAGATGGGCACGAGCACACTAAAGGACAGAAATGGAAAGACCTCATGGAAGCATAAGGGATCGAGAGATGATGGGAATACACAGAAGAACTGTACAGAAAAGATCTTAATGACCCTGATAACCACGATGGTGTGGCCACTCACCTCGAGCCAGATATTCTGGAGTGTGAAGTCACATGGGCCTCAGGAAGCACTGCTGCCAATAAAGCCAGTGCAAAGCAGAGCTATGTAAAATCCTAAAAGATGATGCTATAAAAGTGCTGCACTCAGTATGTCAGGAAGTTTGGGAAATCCAGCAGTGGCCACAGGACTGGAATAGGTCAATCCTCATCCCAATTCCCAAGGGCAATACTAAAGAATGTTCAAACTATTGTAAAATTGCACTCATATCCCATGCTAGTAAGGTTATATTCAAAATCCTTCAAGCTAGGCTTCAGCAGTACGTGAACCGAGAGCTTCCAGATGTTCAAGCTGGGTTTAGAAAAGGCAGAGGAACCTCAGAGATCAAATTGCCAACATTTGCTGGATCATAGAGAAAGCAAGGGAATTCAAGAAAAATATCTACCTGTTTCATAGACTACACTAAAGCCTCTGACAGTGTGGATCACAATAAACTGTGGGAAATGCTTAAAGAGATGGGAACAGACCATCTAACCTGTCTGCTGAGAAACCTGTATGCGGGTCAAGAAGCAACAGATTCTTGTATGGAACAAATGACTGGTTGGGGATTGAGAAAGGAGTACAGAAAAACTGTTTATTGTCACCCTGTTTATTTAACTTACTTGCAGAGCACATCATGCAAAATGCCGGGCTGGATGAGTTACAAGCTGGAATCAAGATTTCTGGGAGAAATAACAACCTCAGATATGCGGATGATACCACTCTAATGGCAGAAAGCAAAGAGGAACTAAAGAGCCTCTTGATGAGGGTGAAGGAAGAGACTGAAAAAGCCGGCTTAAAACTCAGTATTAAAAATCTGAGATCATGGCATCCAGTCCCATCAGTTCATGGCAAACAGAAGGGGAAAATGTGGAAGCACTGACAGATTTCCTTTTCTTGAGCTCTAAAATCAGTGCAGATAGTGCCTGCAGCCATGAAATTAAAAGATGGTTGCTTCTTGGCAGGAAAGCTATGCCAAACGTAGACAGTGTGCTAAAAAGCAAAGATATCCCTTTGCCGATAAGGGTCCATACAGTCAAGGCTATGGTCTTTACAGTAGTCATATATGAACATGAGAGCTGGACCATAAGGAAGGTTGAAGAATTGATGCTTTCAAACTGTGGTGCTGGAGAAGACTCTTGAGAGTCCCGTGGACAGCAAGGAGATCAAACCAGTCAATCTTTTTTTTTTTTTTTCAAACCAGTCAATCTTAAATCAACCCTCAGTACTCATTGGAAGTACTGATGCTGAAGCTGAAGTTCCAATACTTTGACCACCTGATGCAAACAGCCAACTCATTGGAAAAAACCCTGATGCTAGGAAAGATTGAAGGCAGAAGGAGAAGAGGGTAACAGAGAATGAGATAGCTGGATGGCATTACCGATTAATGGACATGAACTTGGGCAAGCTCCGGGAGATGGTGAGGGACAGGGAGACCTGCTGTGCTGTGGTCAGTGGGGTTGTAAAGAGTTGGACACAACTTGGCAACTAAGCAACAACAAAAAGCTAGGCTTACAGATTGGTAGGTTATTTAGCTATTTTATTTGGTCTCATGGTGAATTTTAAAGGAAGCTCTTTTAATTGTTAGAGCTTGCACAAAGTTAAGAATCTCATTACCTAACTGTTTAATGATAATGTTTCACAGACATAGAAAACAAAATTATGGTTACCAAAAGGGAAAAGGTGGTGGTTGGGGGGGACAAGTTAGGAGTTTAGGATTAGCCGATACCGACTACTATATATAAAATAGGTAAACAACAAGGTCTTAACTGTATAGAACAGGAAACTATATTCAGTATCTTATAATAAACTATAATGGAAAAGAATCTGAAAAAGAATATGTAACTGAATCACTTTGTTATATACCAGAAACTAACAAACATTGTAAATCAACTATACTTCAATTTAAAAAGTAGTAATAATATTAATGTTTCATGCATCAAAGATGTAATTCTAGTACATCTCCTAAATCACTAGAAATCAAGAGTTTTGAAGTTTTGATTCTGTCATTTCACTAGTATATCCAATTAAATTACACTCAGAAAGTTCATTCATATTCTTATTTGCTCTGTTCCTTTAGAAGGATATTATGATCTGACCTGAATTAATATACTTAATGAGAGGAACAATACTGAGTCCAATGTAGGAAATCATGTTTTTTTCTTTTCATTATCTCACAGCTTTAATGGATATGCAGTGAATTAGGTATACATTTGTACCTTAATTCTTATAGTCAAAAAGATAACTTATAAAGTTGTTGAAAATGAGGAATAAAGTGTGATCACAAATGAGTCATCAAACTCAGGTAAACTGCAATAAACAGTTACTGTTTTCAATTGGAAGTAGTGATTTACAATTTATACATTTAAACATAGACTGCTGAATTGCAAGTGGAATGATTGGCAGCTCAGCTTCCTTATCATTTTTCTCATAGGACAAATTAAAACTATAAATGCCTTATCAATTGGATAATGTGCCAGCGGCAATTTATTGATGCATATACCTGATCAACCTTTAAAGAATATATCTTGAGTAGAAAAAGACTTCTTGAATTATCAAAATTCTTTACTCATAAGGTAGCTTTTTTTTAATCTTTATATTAATTAAAGGTTGGCATACAGATAGTGAAGTGTGCAGCTCAATGAATTTTTAGTTGTGTATACTCAAGTAATCACTATCCAAAGCAAAACATCAAGAATTACCAACACCTCCTAGAAGACTCTCTCTAGGCTCCCTTGAAATCAGTAGCCTCCTGAAAGTGATCACTCATCTTACTTATACCACTTAGATTAGTTTCATCTGGTTTTATACTTCATATATAGGGGCATACCTGATTTTATTGCACCTTGCAGATAATGTGTTTTTTATAAATTGAAACTTTGTGGCAATTATGTATCAAGCAGGTTTGTTGGTATATTTCCAACAGCATTCATTCACTTCCTGTCTGTGTCACATTTTGATATCAGTAAATCTCACAATATCTCATACATTTTTTAAAAAATTAATGTATTTAGTTTTTGGCTGCACCGAGCAGCATGTGAGATCCTAGTTCCCCAGCCAGGGATCCGATCTGCAACCCCTGCATTGGAAGCGCAGCATCTTAACCACTGGTTGCTGTTCAGTTGCTCAGTCGTGTCTGACTCTGCGACCTCATGGACTGCAGCATGCCAGGCTTTCCTGTCCTGCACTGTCCTTAACCACTGGACCACCATGAGAAATCTCAGACTTCTAAATTATTATTATACTATTGTTGTGATCTGTGATCTTTTTTTATATAGAATTTTATTGATTGACTGATTGATGGTTACCCTGGGTCTTCGTTGCTGCGCAGGCTTTCCCTAGTTGCAGCGAGCAGAGGGCTACTGTTCATTGTGCCTGCGGCGGCCGCTCCTGTTGTGGAGCACAGGCTCTAGGTGACCAGGCTCAGTAGTTGCAGCACGGGCTTAGCTGCTCTGCAGCATGTGGAATCTTCCCGGACTCGGGATCAAACCCACGTCTCCTGCACTGGCAGGCAAATTCCTATGCACTGCATCACCAGGGAAGTCCTGATCGGTGGTCTTTGATGTTACCATTGTAATTGCTTTGGGGTGCCATGAACCATGCCTCTGTAAGACAGTGAACTTAATCAGTAAACGTGTGCTTCCTGACTGCTGCACCGACAAGTCGCTCCCCCATTTCTGTCTCCCTCCTTGGGCCTCCCTATTTCCGAGATTCAACAATGTTGAAATCAGGCCAGTTAAAAAACGCACAGTGGACTCTAGGTGTTGAAGGGAAAGGCAGTGTCTGATGTCACACATTTTAAATCAAAAGCTGAAAATGATTAAGCTTAGTGAAGAAAGCATGTCAAAAGCTAAGAGAGGCCAAAAAGCTAGGACTCTTGTACCAGTTAGCCAAAGTGTGAATGCAGAGAAAAAGTAGAAGAGCTATTGGAAGTGAAAATCAGAAATAATAGGAAAAGTTGGGTTATGAAGACCAAAATAAGACAAATTTCAAAAACAGTTATCTTCTCTCTAGATTTCTTTCTAGTATTTGACGTCTCTTAACACGAATAACAATCAGTTCATTTAATGGTCATTTGTTTCATACTAATACATTAACATACGATAAGGTTTTTTCCACATTTTCTCTCAAAATTGCTTTTCTCTAGAATAATACTGGAGAAATTCAGTAGAATAATAATAATAGACCTGGGTTCAATCCCTGGGTTGGGAAGATCCCCTGGAGAAGGGAAAGGGTACCCACTCCAGTATTCTGGCCTGGAGAATTCCATGGACTGTATGGGCCATGGGGTTGCAGAGTCGGACGCAACTGAGTCGCTTTCCCTTCCATTCTACTGAAGTTTGTTTGCAGTTAACAGTGCCAATGTTGACTTTTCTACCTTTTTTTAAAAAAAATTTACATCCTTGGTGGCTCAGCAGTAAAGAATCTGCCTGCCAATGCAAGAGACACAAGTTCAGTCCCTGGGTCAGGAAGATCCCCTGGTGAAGAAAATGGCAATCCATTTCAGTATTCTTGCCTGAGAAATCCCATAGATGGAGGAGCTTGGCGGGCTACAGTCCATGGGTTCGCAGAGTCAGATACAACTTAGCGACTGAACAACAAAAACAAGAAAATTCACTCTTTTTCATGTATAGCTTTTGAGTTTGGGTAAATAAATATAATATGTAACAATACATATTCAAGATATGGAACAGTTTGCCATCCCCTAAAACTCATGTTGCCCATTTGTAGTCAACCTTTTCTATTTATATACTCTAACAACTACTATCTGATCTTCATTCCTAGAATTTTTCTAGAATATCATATAAGTAGGATCACATAGTATGTAGTCTTTTACATCAAAGTTTTTTTTTCCCACATAGTATATTTAAGGGGGAAAAACAAAGATTCATCCAAGTTATTGCGTATATCATGGTTGGTGCTGGGCCTCGTTGCTCAGTCATGTTCGACTCTGCAACCTCATGGACTGTAGCCCGCCAGGCTGCTCTGTCCGTAGGATTCTCTAAGCGAGAATACTGGAGCAGGTGGCCATGCCCTCTAGGAGATCTTCCCAGCTGGGGGATCGAATCCAAGTCTCCCACATTGCAGGCAGATTCTTTACCATCTGAGCCACTAGGGAAGCCCCCATATCATGGTTTATTCCTTTCAAATTCTGGGTAGCATTCTATTGTATGGATATATTGTACAACAGTTGGTTTAATGATTCACCAGTTGAAGGATATTTGGGTTGTTTCTGGTTTGACAGTTATGAATAAAACTGCTAGAAACACTTGTGGGCAATGTTTTGTATGAACCGAAGTTTTCATTTCTCTTGAAAAGTCTTCATTTATCAATTCCAGTTTCATACCTAGGAACGGAATTGCTTATTCATTTAAGTCTACCCATCATTTCACATGTCATTTCCTATCCTGGAACCTCTGATTATCTCTGTGTTACCTTACTTTTGTTTTGGATCACAACAGAGGCTGTTCTGTTCCTCACTTCTCTATCAGGTTCCTTTACTACTTTCAGGAAAATTTTAGAGCTGGAAAAGAGATCTTAGGGATCATTTGGTCCAGGAGGTGGCAAATAACAGCCCGACAGGAGCTCTCACTCTGGCCTATTGTGCTATAGACAGCTGAGGGCTTTTAACAGGCTTTAAAAACAAAGAGGAATATGCAAGAGAGACTGTATGTGGCCTGGAAAGGCTAAAAAATTTTTCTTTCTGGACCTTTATCAGAAAACTTTGCTGATGTCTAATCTGGTGTAATTCCCTTAACATGTAAGGAAGTGAAATGTAACAGAGTTAAAAAAGTAGATTGACTATCCCTCATTTCAGAGCTCTTTCCCTCTTTTACATTTTCTTCGTTTAATACAGACACCATACCTAGTTTGAGGATTTTAATTTGAGAGGGATGTTAAGAGATTTTGAAGTTTTAATAAATGAACCAGGAGGTTTACATAACTCACTCATAGTTTAATAAATTATTTAAAGATTGGATGGATGCTGAAGGAATGAGGTGGTGAGAATAACTTATTGAAATTAATTAACCTGGAAGAGTCATGTAGAAAATGGCAGCACCGTTAACTCAAACCTACGTCTTTCTGCCCCCAGGGCTTTTTCTCCTAGCTTCTACCTGTGACATGTTTGTCAATTGGGAAAATTTAGTGTCTATTAATATTCCTCAAAATGAAAAGTAGAGCAGATGGGGTAGCGACAGAATCTTGTGGAAAGACTACAAATTTTGGAGTAATATTTGGGTTCAGACTCAAATCTGCCATCTTTAAGCAGCATGACCTTGGGCAAGTTATCTTTCTCAACTGAAGTGTCTCTTAGAGGATTGCTGTAAAGATGAAATAGGGCAGGATATGAGAGCTAAAGCACCTGACAAAATATCTGGCATATGGGTTCCAGAAGTAATAAATACTGTTATTGTTTTGATTACTTTGAACTGAAAATGCTTTCCCTTTTGGGTGTGTTTTCATTTCTAGACTCCCATTGTGACCCTCTCTGGCCACAAGGAAGCAGTTTCCTCAGTTCTGTGGTCAGATGCTGAAGAAATCTGCAGTGCGTCTTGGGACCACACAATCAAAGTATGGGATGTTGAGTCTGGCAGTCTAAAGTCAACTTTGGTAAGATTTATAAATTCAGTGCTTCTCTGATTGAGCTTTTTAAAAAAAAAAAATTACTCATTTTAACTGAGCTTTTAAGTGGTAAAACTTCTAGGAGATGATTACTTTTAGCCTACTCTGGTTACATGTTCTTTCCTTTTTTTTTCCTTCCCAGACAGGAAATAAAGTGTTTAATTGTATCTCCTATTCTCCACTTTGTAAACGTTTAGCATCTGGAAGTACAGATAGGCATATCAGACTGTGGGATCCCCGAACTAAAGGTGAGTTATGTAAATCTCCAGGGGAAAACATGGGTGAATAATATCAATTTCTCTTCTCACTAGAGCTGTGTATGAAAGATACTCTTCTACAAATTTTGATTGGGGGGGGGTGTTCTGCCTACTTCTCTTTTCTAAAATTTAATCATCGTTATCTGTTTTGTTTTGTTCAGATGGTTCTTTGGTGTCGCTGTCCCTAACCTCACACACAGGCTGGGTCACATCCGTAAAGTGGTCTCCTACCCATGAGCAGCAGCTCATTTCCGGTTCTTTAGATAACATGGTTAAGCTGTGGGATACCAGAAGGTAATTCCTGTTTATGATTAATCAAAGAAGTATATCAATTGTTGAATACAAAGAAAATGAACACTGAAATGACTATCCAGAAGCAGAAGGGTGAAAAAAATGTTCTTGGTCATATGCCCTGAAATGATATGTAAATGATATCAGAAAGGAAGGCCAGGATCAAAGGAATTTTCTCAATATGTTATCTTTTGCATTCTGAATGAATGTGATAGTTGGTCTTTTGCCAAAAGAAAAAAAATACACGTTTATGAACTCCATCTTTCTCACCTCATTACATAAAATAGCAGAAAGGAATCCTGAGCCTTAATATAAATATGATACAGCATTAGAAGGCAAGTGGCCTAAATGAATGAAACTGATCAAATTAGAAATTATGTTAATAGGAAATTAAAGTATATACTTTTTATTTTTTTAATAAAAGTATATACTTTTTAAAGATAAAAATTTACAGATTCCTTTCTTTAGTTAGGGCTACAATAAAAATATATGCAAAGGGCCTCCAAGAGAATGTATATATAATTTATTTACATATTTCCACAAGTAGAATGGAGAGGCAGTAACCAAACCCATAATCTGTTAATGATACAGGGAGAGATAGTCAAGAAAATACTCAGAATTTTAAGATTAAGTGGTTATTGGGACAAGGATGACAAACTAAAATTTTCAGAAGAGTGTAAGTGATTATGCACATATATTTGTTTAATACTATGAAATGCATATAACGCGTTAATATTTTCATCTTTAGTTGTAAGGCTCCTCTCTATGATCTGGCTGCTCATGAAGACAAAGTTCTGAGTGTAGACTGGACAGACTCAGGGGTAAGAATTTATCAGTTATTTGATTGAGAAGAAACTATATTATTAGAATAAATTTGCTGTTCACAGTTATTAGTTTCAATGTATCTGATATTTATAATTCTGTATTCTAAGTTAATACAAAACCTCATCATTTAAAGAAAAAATTATCCTTTAATATTAGGAGTAGAAAAACTTGAATATTTTGAGGCAGTTTTTTTTCTCAAGAGTATTTTTAATAAAATTTTTAAGTCTGTAAATTTGCTGCTTCAGACTAATTGGGTCAAAGTATTTCCTACTTAGAAAAATATTAAATAATATGGCTATATTATAAAATGTACTTAAAGAATTACAATTTATTTTATTACCTAAGAACTCTTTTGAAATACAGGTCCTAGGGCTATTTGAAAAATCTGTAATATCCACTTATCTATAAACAATTAATGTGCTGTTCTTCACAGACTTAATTTTCTTAAATAGGTAAAACTATATTACCCTTCAAACTTTTAATTTTATTACATTCCTTAGCAAATGCTTCATAGAAAGTATGATAGCATATTATGCCTCAACCAAATTAAAATCATCACTTTTAAAGTTTTAATATACTGTATATATATGTGTGTGTGTGCTATAGTAGTGAAATTTGATGCAGTTGGCACATCTGAGTATTAACTGTCAATGCAAGTTAATTGCTCATCTGTAATTCTTTCTGTAATCAGAATATCTACTGATAGTTAAATTAGGTTTAGCTAGCATATGAAATAATTGTATTTACTTCTGTGTTTTTTTTTTCCTCTCTCACTTTATGCAGTTACTTCTGAGTGGAGGAGCAGACAATAAATTGTATTCCTACAGATATTCGCCTACGACTTCCCATGTGGGGGCATGAAAGTGAAAGATAAATTTGACTGCAAAGATTCCTTCTGTTAATAAAATCAATAGAGAATACTTCGCTAACACCAATACAGATACAGGAAGCAGCCTTTTAGATTAAAGTTAATATACTGTTTCACCCTTGATGATAGTGTTATCACTCTTTTTATTTTGTATTTATTATACAACAGTTGTGTTTATTGAATATAAAACATGGCCAGCATTCTCTATCTTATGAAAACTTTTGAAATTAAACTGAGTTTTAATTTCTTTTCTAAAGGTATTGGTTTGAATTATGATTTGTTTTTGAAGTCCTATGAAAGTATGTGTTAAAAGTTCAGTAATTGTTCAGATTTTTATTTCTGAGGGAGAAACTTCATTTTTTAAAGTTAGCATTTAAAAAAAGCATTTTAAAAAGTAAAATTTTAATAGAAAAATCAGAAATACAATCTGTGTTTGGTAAAAAAGTTATCCTGTAACTGTAATAATATTCTTTGTAAGTATTCAGAACATTAAAACATGTAGATGTTGCCAGTTATTAAGAATTTGTTGAAATATTTTAAGTGAAGTACTTTGTTTCAAAGATAAGTCAGGGCAATTCCCTAGTGATCCAGTGGTTAGGACTCCATGTTTGCAATGCTGGGGGCCAGGGATCTGTCCCTAATTAGAGAACTAAGATCCCACAAGCTGCATAATGTGGCCAAAAAAATAATAAATAAAAGATTTTAAAAATACATAAAGACAAGTCAGAATCCTTTAGAAATAGCATACAGGTTTCATGGTAACCAGGAATCTCTCTCCCACACTTACACTTGTGTATAGATAAGAATTCTTCAGACAAAACCTTTCAGTAAGTTTTCAAAGGACGAAGATGAAGTTATATTCCTGTTCTGGATGGTTCTGAATGAACCTTAAGAACAGAGTTACAGAAAATATTTTTCTTAACTCGCCCAGTCTGTTCTGCTCACATGTAGTATGCATAACCTAGGTGGTTAAAGTAAAGGTAAAGGGCTTTTCTGCTGGCTCAGACAGTAAAGAACCTATCTGCAATGCAGGAAACCTGGCTTCGATGCCTGGGTTGGGACGCTCCCCTGGAGGAGGGAACGGCAACCCACTCCAGTATTCTTGCCTGGAGAATCCCATGGACAAAGACACCTGATGGACTCCATGGGGCTGCCAAGAGTGGGACACTGACTGAGCACCTAACACAGGCTCAAAGAGGCCGGTTTACTAGATGAAGGACAAAGAAGGAAGTGGCATCAAGTCCTGGTTCCGAGCCCATTCTTAACGATGGTGCAGGATACATTCATGGTTTAGGGATTCTTTGCGGGATGTAGTATCGGTGTCCAAGTCTCTTAGAGAAAGGCTGATTGATCCTTACCAAACCTCTTATGTAACTCAAGTGGTTAGATCTTACTCTCCAAACAGGAAGAGCATGAGAGGCCAAGGGAAAGCTAGAAGACTTAAGTCCTTTTAAAACATAGTGCTTTCCTACCTCCCATCGTTTGTCTTGTCTAAAAAAGTAGAGGGTCCCTTTCAATAGTCCATTTTCCTCCATTTTAGTTACACTGGAGACAGGGGCCTTCCGTGTACTTGTTTGCTCCTAAGATTTGCTTGGAGAAGTGAGTGGAGCTGCTTTTCTAGAGCTGGAATTTGGGAACCAGACAGTGCAGTGTCCAGGACCTGCAGACCAGTACAGGGTCATCTATGCTGCCTTGCCATGGTAATGCCGTTCATAAACATGTTAATCCTTATTTTTACCTCATCAAAGTGTTAAGAAATTTCTGTTTGGCAACAAACTTCCCAATTTTAAAGTTAGGCACAAAATATACTCCAATTGCTGAAAAAGTCAGTCCAAAGAATAAGGCTGATGTTCTATCATGGCTTCCCTGGTAGCTCAGATGGTAAAGTGTCTGCCTGCAATGAGGGAGACCCGGGTTCGATCCCTGGGTTGGGAAGGTCCCCTGGAGAAGGAAATGGCAACCCACTCCAGTACTCTTGCCTGGAAAATTCCATGGACAGAGAAGACTTGTAAGCTACAGTCCATGGGGTCGCAAAGAGTTGGACACGACAGCGACTTCACTTCACTTCTACCATGTACCAGGGTCTCTGCTGGGGTGGAGGGAAGGGGGAAAATGTATAAGATATGGAGACTATCTTCAAAAAGATCACATTTTCACATGGGAGATGCTCAATTAAAAACTGGTTACAACAGTATCCTAAGTGCAAAGAAAGATGTGACTCTAAGGCAGAAATGAAGCATAGAGAAAGGAGCAGTTAGCCTTTTGGGGAGGGAAATGGCCACCAAGAAAGGCATGTAGAAGAGTGACATCTGATCGAGATTTGGACAGATAATTGGTTGGGAAAGTGAAGATAGAATTTATTTCTGGCAGGGGAAGCAGCACAGAAAGATCAGAAATGATAGCTCAGAAGTATCTTGTGGCAGAAAGCATAATATTTTCATATGCTAAGAAGTTTATTTTCCTCTTAAATAAAGCTGCCTTCCAGGTCTTATGTAAGATGATGATCTTCCTATATTGGAAACTGAAAATAAAACCTGACTGTGATGATTACCTAGAGATTATTAGAGTAGAAATTTTAGTTACTTAAAGATTTTTATTCTATATAAAATGATACAGTAGCTTTTCTATGAATAGATGACCAGTGTTTTTCATATTCTTTGAATTTAGAATGACCATTTTGGAACTGTTGTCAACAATGCATATTTTCGAATGCTTCTTAGCATTACCAGAAGGAAAGTACAAATCAAATTTTAAATTGACATAAAATACACATAATTGGACAAACAGCCCTACAAAGAAACTATCTGGGAACTTCTGATAATAACATCGAAATTTGTTTATAAAAATTATTTTGGTGTACTGGGTTGGCCAATGTTATAGTTTTGAAAAATCAGTTGCTTATGAGGAGAAATATTAATCTTTGTTATATACTACCATACCTTCTGGGCTTCCCTGGTAGCTCAGCTGGTAAAGAATCCGCCTGCCATGCAGGAGACCCTGGTTTGATTCCTGGGTCGGGAAGATCCCCTGGAGGAGGGCATGGCAGCCCACTCCAGTGTTCCTGCCAAGAGAATCCCCATGGACAGAGGAGCCTGGCGGGCTGCAGTCTGTAGGGTCAAAAAGAGTCGGACACGACTGAGCGACTACACAAACACACCAGACCTTCTATTCTTAAAAGGGGGAAAAAACGACACTTTTAACAGTATGCATGAGCAAGGGTATTCAATTAATATGTTTTATTTAAAAAGCCACTAATTAGAATCAGGTTTCATTTGACAAGTGATATCCAAACTTTGCAAATCAGAAACTGCCAGGTATAAAATCAGCAGGAATTTTGTTAAGGCACTTTATTTATTTATTTTATTTTATTTTTTTTTATCACAACCATAGTGTATCTTTTTTTTTTTTTTTTTTACATGTATTCCCCATCCCGGTCCCCCCTCCCACCTCCCTCTCCACCCAATCCCTCTGGGTCTTCCCAGTGCACCAGGCACGAGCACTTGTCTCATGCACCCAACCTGGGCTGGTGAACTGTTTCACCCTAGATAATATACGTGTTTCAATGCTATCATAGACTTCTATTAGTAACCATATTCATGTTTTATTATGTCACACAAGCCAAATATATATTTAATGTAGCTTAGTAGAATAGGGGTTTTTTGGTTTAATATAAGTAGATTAACTATTGTTATTCCAATATTAGTCCCATTGGTTCCCAAGTTTGAGGAAGTGTATTATCTTCCAGTGGTGTCTATAAAAACAGCAAAAAACTATACCTCTGTAACAATCTTCTGACATGGCTACAAAAGATTTATTTTATTTGGTTGCACTTCGGGGCTTACAAGATCTTAGTTCCCCCACCAGGGACTGAACCCCTGCCATGGCAGTGAAAGCAGTGAGTGTGAACCACTGGAGCCCCAGGGAATTCCCTGGCAAAAAGCAAGAGATCTTTATCTTAAAGAAGAATATTTGCTACAGAGGTCAAGTTATTTGACTAGATTTCATGCAGCCAGTAAATAGCAGAATAGGAATCTGAATTTGGATTTATCTCAGAGCTCAAGCTCTTAATCATACAAATTCTGCCCATTCTTAAGTCATGTATAAGAACAATATTTCTTCATACATGTAAAGAGTAAGTGGGAAAATGTCTTCACCTAGATGAAAGAAAGGTTGTACACAAATATAAGTGGCATTTATTTGGTACCAAATTACCATGTTCAGCTTTGCATGTTTTTGCCTTTAGAGTTGATCTCGATTTTAGTATACAACTTAATGTATTAGCATAATAATATGAAAATGTGTACTTTCAAGATCCATTGCAATTATTTTCACATAGGAATTGTGAAATATAAGCAAAATAGGAACTTTGAAAATTATCCTGTTATTTGTATCATTTTAATTATCATGTTATTCATGTTAAAGGAAACCTCAACACAAACAGGTTAAATATCTAGTGTGATGGTATAAAACCAATTAGTCGCAGAACTCAGCAACATGTTTCCGAATAATAAAGACTACAGGAAAATGATCTTGGTTAGGTACAATCTGATAGAAAGTTTGCAACATGTCAATTCTATGTATAGCTATATGCCTGGGACTTACTAACACCAAATAAAGTTCAATGATTGTTTCAGGAGGAGGAAATACCTTTTTATGTCTCTTAACAATTCACATTTTAAACAATTCATTTCAATAATACTAATTGTAGCCTTATTTCAATCAACAAAAAACGCAGTATGGGAAAGTGAGCATACTTACCTTGCCACGTGTAAGTCATTAGTAGCATGCGCATCTGGGGAGATAGTTTCTCCACATTTTGACTGACTGCCACTGACCTGCTGCTTCTGACTTCCTCTATAAAATCAGATTATAAAGAAAGAGGAACACCTGGAAGAAATGGAGCTATTTCCATGGTATCAGGCTTCATGACATCAGGTTCAACAGGTCCCTAATCCTTAAGAATAAAACAAGAGGGCAGAATTCTTAATGTGTATTCTAATATCAACTGAGGTTTTATTTGGGATGTTAACTGGAGGCTTATCAATCCTATTCCATGCTTTAGTCCATCCTAAAGGAAACCAACCCTGAATATTCACTGGAAGGACTGATTCTGAAGCTGAAACTCCAATACTTTGGCCACCTGATGCGAAGAGCCGACTCAGTGGAAAAGACCCTGATGCTGGGAAAGACTGAAGACAGGAGGAGAAGGGGAGAGGATGAGATGGTTGGATAGCATCAACGACTCAATGGACATGAGTCTCAGCTAACTCCAGGAAATGGTGAAGGACAGGAAAGGCTGGCATGCTGCAGTCCATGGGGTTGCAGAGTCGGACACGACTGAGCGACTGAACAACAACCAGAGGCTTGCTTGATGGTGCAAAAATAAAAGTAAAGATCATTGCTCTCTAAGGAAATCTGGACTCCAGGTTGGGATCCTAGATTGTGGATCTCCAAATTCTAAGCCATCTAATGGTCCGCTTTTCTAGTTAGCTTGTGGAAGCCTGAAATGGAGGAAAACACTGCTCATACTGGGATAAATCCATTAGTATGTTGAAGGAAATGAAATAGCAGTTTTCTGAATGTTTGATACTTCTTAACAAAATTAAACCCCCCCCATATAAAGTATTTTCATAGTGTTAAATCCTTTCAACTACTGCTGCCTCATTTGTTAAGGGATTTGTACAAGGACATTTAAATAGTTCTCATCAATCCAACACCATGAGTGAGAAGACCTGATTCCTGGCCAGGAAGAGTGTCAGTAGCTCGACCTTGCTTGCTGACACCTTTCCTATACTGTGCTCCCACTTGCACACTTTTCCTAGTGACCTGTAAAGGAAAGAGATGTGTAAATGCTACATTATTTGGCTCAGAGACATTGTATATCTCTTGGTAATTTTCCCTAATTAAGTGAGCAAAACCAACAGTTTTGGCCCTAGAGTCACTACCTGACTTCTTACTGTGTTCCTTGGAGGCCCTTCCTCTGCTTCAGGTTGACCTGTAGAAGCTATTAGTTGAATATCCTCTTGAGTTAAACCTCATCCAGTTGAAATAAGCACTTTCTAAAATATCCCAAGAAACTTACTACGCTGTATAGTAACAGTTTTGAAGTCATCTTGCTTACCGTATTAGAAGCATTTATTCTTTGGGGAGAAAGGTGTTCAGTTCTTTTTAGGTAATTGACATTGTATACTTCAGTTGTTAGTTAGGTATCCTTTCTGTTCATTTATTAATTGAATAAACTCATTCACAAGGAAGTGTGCATTAGGCACTGTACTAATAGATAAGGCTATGGACATGCATATGGAGAAGCACCTAATGGAGAGACAGGCAGGTAAATACAGCAGGGTAGTTGAATTTGAGAGTATAGGTATGCCTTTAGAAGGGACACCTGAGTCAGGAAAGGTCCGCGGAATTGCAGCAAACATCATAATTGCCAAATTATAACTCTTACCCTTCTAAGGATCTGGACTGTGAGATTCTGAGGAAAGCTGAAGATTCTTTCTTTAAAAAAAAAAAAAAAAAAAAGAGCCAAATTTTTGCATATTATTTCATGTATTCACCTTGAAACTTCATATATCTCAGGGTTAGAATTCCTGGTCTAAAGACTTAATTTTCAGTCCAAATTAGCTCTGTAGTATAAACAGCTTACCCTTTTTCTTATTATAAAACCTTTCCCCACCCCACCCCGGATTTTTAAGCTAAGTACTTTGTAATAATATTCTAGAATCTCACCCCATGTTTATATTTTTCATAATGTTATTGACTTTAATTACCACCTCAAGCTTTTTTCCTTGCTAGCCCATATGTCACAGCTGTGACTAATTCATATTTTGTAAACTTTTAAAGTTGATAACTTTTGTTAACCTTTAAAAGGAAAGCACTGTGGGACTTCCCTGGTAGTCCAGTGGCTAAGGTAATGCTCTCAAAGCAGAGGACCCAGGTTTGTTCCTTGGTCAGGGAACTAGATCCCACATGCCACAACTTAAAGATACCACATGCTGCAACTAAGACCCCGGGCAACCAAATAAAAGCAAGCACTCTGAGCTTAAATTACATTCCACCAATAACAGAATTTTACTTTTGCCTTATTTCCAATATTTTTTCCTGAGGTTTTTAGGTGCAAATTTTACCTTTGATTCTTGAAGATTCGTTCATGACAAACTGTGGTTAAGCTGGGGCTTCCGCAATGGCTCAAAGGGTTCGATCCCTCGGTGCGGGGGGAAGATCCCCAGGAGACGAGCATGGCTACCCACTCCAGTATTCTTGCCTAGAAAATCCCATGGACAGAGGGACCTGGCGGAGCTACCGTCCATGGGGTCGCAGAGAGTCAGACACGACTGAGCACGCAGGCACAAATGTGCATCTCAGGTCAGTAATTAAATCGTTGACTTCATCCTCTTTACACTTTTAAATAAGAGTTAAACAGCACGTGAACGTTTCCCGCGTGCCGCCACGCGTGATGAGACGCGCCCGAGGCCTCAGGGATGACCAGGGCTCAGAAGCTTCTGTCCCCGCAGGGGTGGCAGCCCAGCGCCCGCAGCTACAGCGGGGCTGGGAGGCGGCGGGGTCCCGGGCTCCGGGCTCAGAAGAGGAGCGCAGACTTCCCCACGCCTCGGAGGGCGCCCACTCAAGTACCTTATACCGCTGTTCTAACGACTTGGTGTTTGTCATTTCACTTTATTAGAGGGATTCCGGAAAGGAGGAGCAGGGAGGGTCCCGGAGTCTCTTCAAAAACCGGCTAAGAGCCGGGGCCTCCGCGGGTCGGGGCTAGGCGGGAGCCCGACAGGCGTGAACGCGGAGGACGCCGGGCCGAGGCGCCGAGGGCAGCGCGGCTCCCGCGTGCGCCAGGCCGCAGCGTTTAAATCTCCCGCCTGCCGCGGCGGGAGCCCGACACCTCCACGCTCTGGTGCGGAGGGGCACCGGCTGCGGGAGCGCCCCGGCGGCGGCGGCGGCGGCGGCGGCGGCAGGAACTGGCAACGGGAACCGGCACCGGGACCCCCCGCGCGGCCGAGCGCGACCCGAGGCGGCGGAGGACGCGCGCGTCGCGACTCCCGGCGTCGAGGTGAGCGTCGGCGGCGGCCTCCCCGGGCTCCCACCCTGCGGGGCGGCGGAAGGGCCGCGCCCTCCCCGGCCGACCGGGGTCCGGAGGCCAAACCCTTGGTTCCCATGGCGACGCCCCGGGTGGCTGCGCCGGCGGGAGGCGCCCGCCACGCGCGCACGCGGTCTCTCGAGGCCTCGGCGGCCTTCTCCGTTCCCTTGGGGACCCCGGCCCCTGCGGCCTCCCTCCTGAACGAGGTCCTGGCCGAGCTCCTCCGGGCTTACTCGGGGCAGATCGGGCTGGCAGTGGTTTTAGGCTTGCCTGCGTCCCCTCGGGACTGAGGGAGTCCCGCCCACGCTCCCCCCGGGGAGCGAAGGAGCGCCGGGGCCTGAGGCTTGGCTGATTTCTCTCGAAGGTGGAGGTCGCTTCCATTAGAAGCAGATGCTCTCGGGCTTTAGGTGCTTTCCTGCTGACCTCCTTTTTATCTTGTTCTTTTCCTGTCGTTATTTTGTAATGGGAATGTCTTCTTCAGAAACTAAATGGTTAGCAATGGGTAAAAACACAACCTAAGTAAAGGCGCGGTTTCAAACGAAGTGCGGCCGGCAGGAGCTAACGAGGGTCCCGGCGCACAAATCTTGCAGCCCGAGGCCTTTATCCCAGAGCCGCGGACCGATCCTGGGCGGTCATGGAAACTCGGATCACCTGGCCAGTGCCCAAGTGCTGTCAGCAGTTATATACCTGATGCTCTGAGAAAGATGGAGAGGGGAGGGGGGAGAAAAAATCCATCCTGGCAATTAGCCCGAGATGCTGTGGATTTGCCAGTAGAGGGGGTGGGGTTATTTTTCAAGTAATGATTATCTTGATGCACGGAGCATAAAAGCTACCATAAGCTATGGATCACCGTGGAATAGCTTATTGGGAAGATAACGTTTAACCATGGTTCGGGTTTTTTTTCTAAGTATGTATTGATTTGTTTGGTTCTGACCCAGTTAACGTACTGTAAGGTGATATTCCTTTAATGATCTTCACATCAATATTTATGCAGTAGCCACAGGTGCCTCATCCTTTAGTAGGAGTTGATTATACTAATAATTTACTGGCCAAATAAACATCATCCAGTGGTATGTATATATTTTTTATATGACCAAACTTTCTAGTCGTTTTTGTATTCGTCTTTGCCTGACATATCCAGTATTCTTTGAAATTTATGTATTTAAATAGTGCAAAATTATTGTACATCTTGACGTTGAAACAGTTATGTGCAAGACATTGTTCTAATTAGTGTTAGGGTTAGATGGTTGCTCAGAGATCAGACAGTCCCAAGTGTAAAAACTGCAAACATAAGACTGGTGGAAAAACTAGGAGGCCATATTTTTTTTAGAAATATTTATTATAAAGCAATAAAATTTATACCAGTGACTGAACTAGAACAAAATATCAAAATATGAAATATCGGATATAAAACAGTATTGTTTTGTTCTACTACACTGCCAAGCTCTGTATTTCATTGTGCAGTAGTATATGCTTTATTACAAATTTTTCCTTTTCTTTGTTATTTACCTTTCTCGGTACTCACTGTGCCTCCTTTAAATTTTTATTCTTTAACAACAGATGGGGTGTGTGAAAGACTTTTCAGTATGTCTGTGACTGGAAAGATTTCCTCATGTGAACTGGATTTTGTTATATAATATCCTTATTCCCCTTTTCCATTGTGTTTTTCTTTCATCTGTTATGTGTCTCCTTTTTTCTGAAGTCAGACTTTTCAAACTTCTGCTCGCATCCAATATTTGCTTTCTATGTAATTCTTTTTTTTTTTAGTATATGTGCTGCCGAAGCAAGCACTCTATGTAATTCTTTATTGTATTATTATGATGATGATTTTCCCCTTGTTGACCCATTTGCAAATATCACTTCAGGTTTAAAGTTTTTTTAATGCATAAACTCTTGATTCAGCCCTTATATGTCCTGGAATTAATTTTATAGTACACTTACATGTATTTTAAATAATACATATATGTTTATTAATTTCAGCATGGTTTGAAATAATACTAGAAGCAGTCTAAATATCCGTCAATAATAGACCAGTCAAGTAGATTATAGTACATGCATACAAATGAAATGTTATATATCCATTAAAATTGTATTACAGTTATGGAGAAAATTCCATGTCATATTCTTTTACCCTTAGCACTGTACAGTCTCACTTCTATCCATAATGTAATGTGGCTGAGGAGATGCCTGAGGTCAGGATGAATTATTTAACTTGTAGGTGGTCCTCTTTTTTCGTCTAGATCCTAGTAGCATTCTTTCTTTGCCCTTAAAATTCAGCAACATTCCACAGTATATCTTATTCTTGATCATTCTGTATTGATTTTTCCTGGAAGACAATGTACCCCTTCAGTTTTCAGCTTTATAGTCTTGAGTATTTTGGCTTTTCTATATGTCTGTCTTTCTCTGTCCAACAATATTACTTAGATTAGATCTCAGTTGTTTATATTCCAAACCTATACATCATTTTGTTCTGTCTGACCACTTTGTTTAAATCTAACCACCTTTATCTTATAATCTTCATTCTGAATGATCTTCCCGGGTTTCTCATCAGTATTATTAACTTAGCTTTCTGAAGTATCTATTCTACTTGGAATTGTTTATAATGTAGTTTTGAGGTCTCTGGTGTTTTTTTCTCATTTTTCTTTATATATTTAGCTTCCTTTAGCTCTTACTAAAAAAAAATCTCTTTTATGGAGTTTTGTTCCATTTATCTTCAGGCAAACCAGTTTTTCTTTAAACCTGTTCTATGAAGCAGTTTTTCAGATGTATCTATTTTCCCCCTTTCTCACTTTATGATCCCTCCTTCTTTTCTTGTGGCTTACCTGGTGGCTCAGATGGTAAAGCATCTGCCTGCAGTGCGGGAAACCCGGGTTCAATCCCTGGGTTGAGAAGATCCCCTGGAGAAGGAAATGGCAACCCACTCCAGTACCCTTGCCTGGAAAATCCCATGGACAGAGGAGCCTGGTGGGCTACGGTCCATGGGGTCGCAAAGAGTTGGACGGGACTGAGTGGCTTCACTTTCACTTTCTTTTCTTGTAGTGCTGCTTTTTCATGTTATTTAATTTGCATGTTGTTGTTGGAAAGAGCAGTTCTGTTCTGGCCTGCTTTTTGCCCAGGAGTAGCGGAAGTAGTTTATTATGTAACCCTGTCCCTTGGAATAACAGTTTCAGAGGCTGCATAGGTGAATGGGTACCTTGTGGTAATCTCTTCTTTAATTGGCTTCTTGGGGACAGTTTTTACATGCTCTCTTTAAGTGGTTCCCCATAGCGTGTGTCAGTCACTGGTTCTAGAGGCAGGTGAATATGATAGATCTGTGATTATTCTAGGGTGCTTTTGTCTGCTGCGCAAGGTTGACACCAGCTTGTTCTGTTTCTCTGCAGCCGTGCCTTGCCTCTTGGCAGGGAGAACTAAAAACACCCTGGCCACTGTAGGGTTTAGGGAGCCCAGTACATAATACCTCTCGCCTTTTTCTTATCCCTTAGGACTGAAACCAGTTCACATGTAGTCAAGACCTAGGCAGACGGAGATAAACTTTAATATTGAGAGAACTTTAGAGGATGTGTATCATATCAATGTTGTTTTAATATTTCTGTCCCCTAGTCCATACCTGAAATAGCCCGCTCAAGGGAGAGTTTTGGTCTTCATAATAGACACACTTGCCTAACACTTTTACCTCATTCTGATTAGGTTGCAAGTGGTGAATTAGAGGTTAAAAAACAGACCTAATTCACTAATTCTCTGGCTTGATAGATTAGCTCTACTCAGTCAAGAAATGTAGACCAGTGGTTAATTCACCAGTCAGGTTTCTCACTGTAGGAGAGAAAGGGCAAGAAGCTGGGAATATTTATAGAAAATTTTCCTTCATAGAAACCTGAAGAGCTTAAAAGAAACATTTCCCACCATAAACACGATGATCTCTTCTTCAGTAGTCTTCTTTGCAAGCATATGATAATATAAGAAGACAAGCCAACTGTCTCCTTAAGTCTGGCTGTGCTTGCGAAAGAATTCATGTCTTCAAGTTAGTGATTAATTATTGGGACTTCTTCAGAACATACTCAATTTGCCAGAATCGAACCTGCTTCAGATTAGAGGAGATGCTGGTCGGATTTGGACATCCTCTTTAGATCTCATGCAGACTTTGTTTTATCTGACATTTATTCATTGGCTTCAGTGCTATCAGCTCAGTTCAGGCACTCAGTCGTGTCCGCCTCTTTGCGACCCCGTGGACTGCAGCACACCAGGCTTCCCTGTCCATCTCCAACTCCTGGAGCTTGCTCAGACTCATCAAGTTGGTGATGCCACCCAACCATCTCATCCTCTTTTGTCCCCTTCTCCTCCTCCCTTCAATCTTACCCAGCAAAAAAAAGAAATCTTACCCAGCATCAGGGTCTTTTCAGTGAGTCAGTTCTTCACATCAGGCCAAAGTATTGAAGCTTCAGCTTTAGCACCAGTCCTTCCAATGAATATTCAGAACTTATTTCATTTTATATAGGATTGACTGGTTTGATCTCTTTTCAGTCCTAGGGACTCTCAAGAGTCTTCTCCAACACCACAGTGCAAAAGCATCAATTCTTTGGCTCTCAGCTTTCTTTGTAGTCCAACTCTCACATCCATACATGACTACTGGAAAAGTCATAGCTTTGACTATACGGACCTTTGTTGGCAAGGTAATGTCTCTGCTTTTCAATATGCTGTCTAGGTTGGTCATAGCTTTTCTTCCAAGGAGAAAGCGTCTTTTAATTTCATGGCTGCAGTCACCATCTGCAGTGATTTTGGAGTCCCGGAAAATTAATAAAGTCTGTCACTGTTTCCATTGTATCCTCATCTATTTGCCATGGGATGATGGGACTGATGCCATGATGCCATGATCTTTGTTTGTTGAATGTTGAGTTTTAAGTCAGCTTTTTCACTCTCTTCTTTCACTTTCATCAAGAGGCTTTTTAGTTCCTCTTCACTTTCTGCCATAAGGATTGTGTCATCCGCATATCTGAGTTTATTGATAGATCTCCTGGCAGTCTTGATTCCAGCTTGTGGTTCATCCAGTCCAGCATTTCGCATGATGTATTCTGCATATAAGTTAAATAAGCAGGATGACAATATACAGACTTGCCATACTCCTTTCCCAATTTGGAACCAGTCCATTGTTCCAAGTCCTGTACCAACTGTTGCTTCTTGACCTGCAAACAGGTTTTTCAGGAGGCAGGTCAGGTGGTCTGGTATAACCATCTCTTAAAGAATTTTCCCCACTTTGTTGTGATCCACACAGTCAAAGGCTTTTGGTATAGTCAAT